TCGTTGAAACAGTTGATCTTATTGACCTAAGCGACGATTCTGCAATCCCTTGTTCTTCTTTAAGCACTCCGTTTGCTCCGTCACGTTCTTTACCAATGAGCCCTGACTTGCAGTCAAATCGTAAGATGATGGAGAACGTATTTAATGAACAGCGTGGTAGCAGTGTTGCTTATAATGCTGTAAGTAGTTTTCAGCCAAATCGGGTTTCTTCCCAAACTAGCTTAGAGGTCCTCAGGCAAGGCTGGCAACGTTTTGACTAAAACATTCAAAGGATTGAAGGTGACGAAAAATTCAGCATAGGGTAGACATTTTTTGTTTTGATGTCGCTCACCAATTACAAGTATTCTAGAAGTTTTAATTTCACATGTAGAGCGCAGAGGAAGTCTTTTTGCAACTATTAAGAACTGTTTTTGTTTCCTTTTCAAAAAACGAAACTGAGAGCACTGTTTGTTGAAGACGTCATTTGAAACTGATCAAATGGGAATTCAAGATTGCAGCCTTTTATCTTAATAGCAGCTTTCAAGTCTTTTCAAATGTCTTGGCAAGGAACTTATTTGTATTTCGACCAGTTTCTTACTCCAAAAATGCTGTAGAGTCACTGAACTTTTCCAGAGATAACTTTTTTGGTTGTTTTACATAGTTAGTACTTCACAGTTTCTCTATTAGGCAATATGCTTACATGTTTTTTAAATGTTCAGTAAATCTGTATGACATATAACAAAAAGTTTTAAGCATTTTGTGCATTTACTAAGCACCCACGATTCAGTGATCCAGCACAGTAAGCTTTAGTGAAAGTGGAGGTAAAGGCAAAAAAGTTAACGAACGATTCCAATGCAAACGACTTTACAGCATCAAAATGTTCAAATACACGAAAACCGACTTTAATTAGCGGTGCAGAAATGTAGTGGAGTTATCTCTGCATTCTGTATTCATATGATTTCTATTTTGATTGACCACAGACTTGTTTATGCCACAGTGTTAATTTGTGATATTTACTTGTTCTCACTGCAACATTGTTTGTTTTTATATTTCTACAAGAGCTTTGTTCTGTAAGACTAATTTGGTCAAGTAAACTAACTTTAAGGAGGTTTCGTCGAATTCTTGTCTTTGTATGTTTAATGTAGAATAGTGAATAGATGTGGTTTTTAGGCGGCGTGTCAAGAGTTGATCACTGAAGTAATGGAAATGTTTTGTTCTCTGTCTTTTTAGCAGTACAGTTAGTTAGGCTTTTGAAGTATTTTTGGTTTTGAGGTACTCAGGAAACTCCTGTGATTTAAGTCACATGGCAGGTAATGAGACCTGTGATAAAAAAGGAGGATAATAACGGTTACTGTTTTTTTTCTTTTATTTTTCTTCATTTTTTTAAGCTGTAGATTTGTATCTTTGTTTAGCTGCATGTTAAGTGATGCGAGAGAATTGTAAACCATTTTTTTAAAATTTTTTAATTTTGTGATGAGTCAGATCTAACTTTTTTTGAAAGAAGGAAGGAAAAGAAGAATCTGTTTGTTTTTTCGCCTTTCTGCTTGTGTACGTGAACCTCCATTTGAAAAGTTTTGTGATCTACGGTATGATTTATGTTCTGCTGTTTTATTTTTGTTCGTCAAGCAACATCTTTGTGCAACTTTATTGGCCTAAACTGACTACACACATTTTTTCGTAATTTTTGAAATGAGCGTGCAAAAGAGAGCCACTTATTACTAGCGTTAAATGTCAAGGGATGAAAAGTGTTAATAGTCAAATGTTTTCTGACTATGCGAAAAGAAAGACGGAAGAGCAGAAATAAACGCTGCGTATTCATTTTAGTCGTTGTCTTTTTGAATAGGCGTATTTAAAGTTGAATACAGAGCAGTGGCAAATAGCTGTTTATCTTAACGTTTCTTAAGAAATACAACAGGTAGATGAAGTTTTTGAAGGTAAATTTACTTACAGCTGCGTCTTCCTTCGTGTCCGTACTTCGAGCGTCAGTCACTGTCGCCTTTTATGGTAGTGGTGCCTGTGAGAGTATAATTGTCGGTTCCATATTATCGCTTTATGCAAAAAAGGCGAAAATGGACTAAAAGTGAAAAAAAGAGTAAATTTTAAGAATGTTCATGACGTGGATTTTTGAGTTCTTTGAGTTCCAGGATATTTCGGTACACTTCGTGGTCGGTAACTGATGAACGTTTATATCAAGAGAAGAAGAGGAGAATACAGGAGTAAACATAGACAAGTAGTTCATTTTCTTTTTTTCTTTTGTTATTTTTGATATAAAGAGCAGCAACAAAGAGTATGATAAAGTAATAGTCGTTTCCCTATTTAAGTATCTGTATGGGTACTTGAACAGAATTAATCGACATGAAGCATCCAAAAGTACTATATAGCTGTTTTAAACCCTCCTTTTCAACCCCTTTCGTGGTTGACGAAAGGTCAAGTGAACTACTTTAGCACGAATCTACACACAGAAAGAAAGCTATAGGCCACAGCCACTGACAATTATCATGTTTTAGTTTAGATTCTAATTTGATGAAAAAATACAACAGTACAAAATGTTCGAAAACTTATTACCACAAGAAGCATGACTTTTAGGACAGCGTAACTGGACCAATCTTTGCATGGCTTCCTACGCTTCAAATTGAAATTCGTTGCAGATACCAAGCATGACCTTTTCGTAACGTCACAGAACATGCACTTTCTGTGCTAGTTACGTACGTGACCCTACTACTGCCTGCCACCATTGACCAAGCCACTTTTACACAGCGCCAACGCTCCATAACTTTACTGTCTAAGCAAGTCTCCCTTAATCACAGTGCATACTTACTTTTACTGTGCGACAAATAAATTAGCATTGATTGAAACCACGTTCCTTTAAAAATTTCTGCGGAAATCACCATTCAGCTTCAAAACTTTAGCATCTAAACATGTCCAGTATCAGTTTGAGAAGTGCACATGGTTTTATTTTTACTCGATGTAATGGAAGGAATCAAGTAAAAAGAGTCGATAAGCTGAGCAGTGTAAATGCGAACCAATGTAATAAGAACTAAACTATAAATACATTTTCATGGCATTAATCTACAAATATCTTAACATTTAACTGATTTAACTACCCCAGTTCACTACCTACAAACTTAAAAGACCTCGCCATAACTTGCATTGTTTTTTTTTTCTTATTTAATCAATGACTTTTTTAGTTCACAGCCTAAACAGTTCGCAGAATTCACAGTCAAATAATCCTCATCCTTCACCGAGCCAAGATACTATTGTATTACACAGCAAAAAATGAAAAAATGAGAAAAACAAAGACAAATAAATTTACAATGAAGAATTTGACGGAATGAAAAAATAAAACTTTATAAAAATGACTTAGATGTAGAAAATAATCAAAAAATTTATGATCAGGCAACAGTGGCACATAACAAGATTCAATAACTAAAACACAACAAATTACAGAATACTCAGACAAATAAACCCACTTTACAAAAGCACATTGCACAAATACGTAGCAAAAATAAGATTATAGTTCTAAATAAGGCTTTATCCTTCGATACCAGAAAGCAAAATCAGGAACTGATTTTCCATGTTAAAATAAATTAACGAGAAACTCGACTTAGATATAACCAAATCGGTAAAGAATACAAATCTTCAGACTATGAAGCTCTTCTCCACATCTTGCCAGTTATATCACGTTCGGACCCAGAAAGCAGCCTAAAAACGAAAGCGGGAAACTCTGCAGGTGACTAAAGTTTTGTATACTCGTCTGTTGTGTCTGGCAAAGGCTTTGGTTTTGCAGGAAGTCGAGGTTTTGGGACCGGGTAATTTGTTGGTGATGTCATACCCGTAACCTGACTGTTTGCTAGACCTGAAGCATCAGACACTGATTTTGAGCCGTCTGTCCCCAGATGCACCACTGTCCGATTATTCTCATCTACACTGGCAATCTGCTTACCAACGGTTCTACGGGGCGGCGGAACAATCGTTTCTTGTGTGGTTACAGCATTAACGTATGAAACAGGCCGTTTACTTGACTGCGAAGCATCGCTTTCCGTCGAATTATGAATTTTTCCAACACGAGGTTGAGGTGGTCTGGACGGCCGTGTTGGAAGAGTGGTGCTCATTTCAGCACTTAATTCATCAGTGACTTCAACGTTAGAAGTACCATACTCACTCATAGAGTCATTGGAAGTACCAGAAGAGGTCTTACAGAGCGAGTGAGATATACTTTCCGTCCCTGAAAGAATTTCGTCACAATTATCCTGATTGGACGTCTCAGGAAGGACTGTTAAAGCTCGTTGATTTGATAAAGAACTTTGCGGAGGCGGCGGTGCCGGTTGTTTTGGGCGTGACCTAGGAGGGGGAGTCTGAGGTGAACTGCGATGGAGAGAAAATTTCCCGACGCTACTGAAAAAAGTAAAACTTAGGGACAAGATTTTTACCTTTAACGGTCTGGAACAGGCAAGATATTATACGCAAGCAAGAACTTTAGTCAAGGATGCCCCAGAAAGGCAAAATTGCTGCTTGACGCAAAAGTCAAACGACATACTCTGATAAAAACATTACCAGTTCCTGCCAAAAGTGGATACGCATGCATGACATTACATAACATTGCAAAAAGAAATAATAAATAATGATAATATAAAAATATTTCATCTACTAACCAGAAACTGTCAAAATTTAGACAAAGGAAAAAACCCTACCAATCAGGCAAAACCCTTCACCTCAGAAAAGAATTTCTGTTTTAAGCAGAAAATCATCACAGGCAATTAAATTCATACGACCTCAAAAAAAAAAAAACGAAAAAATACCTCTGGTTCAGAACATCAACTTTATGTTGAAACGATGTGGAAGTCTGATTCTCGTCAGTAAATTCTGCAGGGCTAGGTGGTCCTCCTACTGTAACCGTTGAATCATAATTAAATTTATCTAAAAAAACAGATACTATGTTCCTAAGAAATAAATGTCTAATTTTGGTGGTGAATCTACTTTCAGTAAATGATTTTACTAAACGCCAACGGTTTTTTCCAAATAGTTCATCTGTTCCCCCGCTTAAAATGCTCCTAAAAAGATACTGCAAAAGGTATGAGTTCCTAAAAAGTAGCTCTAAACAGTGCGGAGCATTTTTCATAGAGGTTAAAAAAGAATTAGATAGAAAAAAAAGACAATAAGAATATTAAATTAATTGAACCTCACCAACCCTTCATTACTGCGAACTTTTAATCAGAAAAATTGCAGAAATTAAGTGAAGGAACCTCAGAAAATTACTCCAAATCACGTAATCTACTTGAAGTTGAAAGAATAGCATCTCTTTTTACAAACCATTCTCAAAAAGAGCATCAGCATAACCCAGTAAGGTTTCAACTACTTTAGCACCAAGCATATTTTCAGATTCTGAACCGCGCGTATTCATCAAATTCGGACCGAATATAATAACGAGGTTCTTAATATCCATCCTGAAAAATAATATAATAAAATCCAGCAAAAAAAAAACATTTCCCAGAAAAACGATAAAGATCGAAAATGCATGCTTTGTCTGTTCTTCAAAATTTAGCATGTGCTGAAGGAAGCGAATGAGGTAAGCAAGATTCCGTCTGTTGGCTTCAGGCAAACATTTAAGTAATTTCGCAACACCTTTGATTCGGTCCTCTGGACTCTGTCTAAAAACAGCTAAAAGATATTTTTCGAACAAACTAGTCATATATCACAGAAATAGACAACTAAAGCAGCAAAACACCAAATTCAAAAGAAATTCCTCCGCTTTTACAAATTTCTATTACTGTATCTGAGATAGACTGTATTAAAATAAACTGAAAAAAGCATGTAGAAAATATCGTAAGTCTAAAAAACATGTAAAATGTTAACCATTGATTAATCTTTCAAGAATGAACGTAACAAGTGAAAACCCTGATAGGAAAGACTTAATTGGCAACTTTAATCCATTCTGGGTAAAGGCGTTCTGTTAAGAGAGGCTCTGGAAGTTCACGAAGATAAAGCTTAAGAACAGAACAAAGAGAATGAGGGTCCGATATATTCTGCTCTTTTTCAGGGAAAGGGCCAGTAATCTCATGTGCATCGAAAGCTGCCTTCATCCGTTTTATGCGACTCAGGTTTCCGCTCACACGAAAAAGCCCCTAAAATTTTTATTAAGTTTTAAAAACCAAAAGAAAATTGATAGTCAATAAAAAACAACCTTTTCGCTCAGATGGTGTCTGTAAAGAGCCGTACAACAGAATTCTAGAACCACAGCGATCGAACGTTTTGAGAAATTTAAATGATCCTCCAAGTGACAACCAAACACCGGCTGTTTCGAATACATTGCTTCAATAATAAAGTTACCTTAGCAGTATTGCTGAGCAAAATACTTGAAAGTTCTCCTTACTCCCTCGTCACACTTGCACGCATCTTTTTTTCCCCTGCTTTCTACTTACAAAAAAAAAAAAAAAAAAAAAAAAA